CAGTGTTTTCCTGTCGCGTCCTCTCGTCTCTCTGACTCTCTCTCTCTGTTTCTCTCCCTTTTCCTCCCCCCTCCCTCCCTTTACACTCCTTACATCATTACAGACGTGTGTTTCTGTCACATATATTACCTCCCTAAACGGCACAAATTAACACATTAAAAAACCTCTTTTGAGTGTTTTCTAACGACATAAAGTGAGTTATTTAACACCGTTTCAAAAGGCTTTCTGCACAGTGAGTACTTTTACTAATGTTTAGACGCTAAAAGTACTTTTACTAATGTTTAGACGCTAAAAGTACTTTACTAACGTTTAGACGCTAAAAGTACTTTACTAACGTTTAGACGCTAAAAGTACTTTACTAACGTTTAGACGCTAAAAGTACTTTACTAATGTTTAGACGCTAAAAGTACTTTCACTAAACTTTAGACGCTAAAAGTACTTTCACTAACGTTTAGATGCTAAAAGTACTTTCACTAACGTTTAGACGCTAAAAGTACTTTACTAACGTTTAGACGCTAAAAGTACTTTCACTAAACTTTAGATGCTAAAAGTACTTTACTAAACTTTAGACGCTAAAAGTACTTTCACTAAACTTTAGATGCTAAAAGTACTTTCACTAACGTTTAGACGCTAAAAGTACTTTACTAACGTTTAGACGCTAAAAGTACTTTCACTAAACTTTAGATGCTAAAAGTACTTTACTAAACTTTAGACGCTAAAAGTACTTTCACTAACGTTTAGATGCTAAAAGTACTTTCACTAACGTTTAGACGCTAAAAGTACTTTACTAACGTTTAGACGCTAAAAGTACTTTCACTAAACTTTAGATGCTAAAAGTACTTTACTAAACTTTAGACGCTAAAAGTACTTTCACTAAACTTTAGATGCTAAAAGTACTTTCACTAACGTTTAGACGCTAAAAGTACTTTACTAACGTTTAGACGCTAAAAGTACTTTCACTAAACTTTAGACGCTAAAAGTACTTTACTAACGTTTAGACGCTAAAAGTACTTTTACTAATGTTTAGACGCTAAAAGTACTTTCACTAACGTTTAGACGCTAAAAGTACTTTACTAACGTTTAGACGCTAAAAGTACTTTCACTAAACTTTAGATGCTAAAAGTACTTTCACTAAACTTTAGACGCTAAAAGTACTTTACTAACGTTTAGACGCTAAAAGTACTTTACTAACGTTTAGACGCTAAAAGTACTTTCACTAACGTTTAGACGCTAAAAGTACTTTCACTAAACGTTTAGATGCTAAAAGTACTTTACTAACGTTTAGACGCTAAAAGTACTTTACTAACGTTTAGACGCTAAAAGTACTTTCACTAACGTTTAGACGCTAAAAGTACTTTCACTAAACTTTAGACGCTAAAAGTACTTTCCTAACGTTTAGACACTAAAAGTACTTTACTAACGTTTAGACGCTAAAAGTACTTTCCTAACGTTTAGACACTAAAAGTACTTTTTCCACCCCTGCTGCTTACATGCTATCCTCTCATAGTCTGCAGATGTCCTCATGTAGTTGTACCTTTAACTATACAGACCTCATGTATTTGTACCTTTATATATACAGACCTCATGTATTTGTACCTTTATATATACAGACCTCATGTATTTGTACCTTTATATATACAGACCTCATGTAGTTGTACCTTTATATATACAGACCTCATGTAGTTGTACCTTTAACTATACAGACCTCATGTATTTGTACCTTTATATATACAGACCTCATGTATTTGTACCTTTATATATACAGACCTCATGTATTTGTACCTTTATATATACAGACCTCATGTATTTGTACCTTTATATATACAGACCTCATGTATTTGTACCTTTATATATACAGACCTCATGTATTTGTACCTTTATATATACAGACCTCATGTATTTGTACTAAGTTTGCAGAGGGGGTCAAACTGTGACCCGGTTACTGACCTCTGACCTCTGACCTCTGAGAGATAAACAAACAGATGACAAACAGAAATGAACCGGGTCCACTTTTGAAACCTTCAGTGACAGAGGGAGAAACGGACAGGATTTACTGACAATAATTATATATGTTAATGATATCTTTCCAGTAGCTAGTATACACTTTGTATCAGGCGTGGAAACAACAATTATTATTTAAATATTTGTAATTTAATTTTTTAATTTTCATTTATTTTCTTTATTCCTTTAAAAAAAATTATATAAATATAAATATATATATTTTTTTCATTTTCTTGTATTTTATTCATTTTGTTATGATTTATTTTCTTGTGTTTAATCACATTATATTTGTATATTTATAACAGCAGCAAAGTCTCTCTTGACTCCATCAGACATTATTATCACAGATTGAATATATTAGATTATCATTATAACAAGATCACAAGTTGTGTGTGTGTGTGTGTGTGTGTGTGTGTGTGTGTGTGTGTGTGTGTGTGTGTGTGTGTGTGTGTGTGTGTGATTATTAATGACATTAATGGTTATGCAACTGTTGTTGTTGTCGTTGTATGAATTCACCACCAGATGGCGGCAGTGAGTCGTGTTTTTCCACCAGCAGCTGACATCACGTGAACACAGCATCACACACACACACACACACACACACACACACACACATACACACACACACACACACACACACACACACACACCCCCCTCTCCGGTTACCGAGGCCGTGTCAGATGTGTTTCTATTTTCTCTTTCCCTCCGACCCGGAACTACTGACACACACACACACACACACACACACACACACACACACACACACACACACACACACACACACACACACACACACACACACACACACACATTCTCTCACTCTGTCTCCATCACGTCACACTCTCTGCAGAGACCACCGACCGACAACATGGAACTGCCTCCCTGTGTGGTGGATTGTGGGACAGGGTGAGACACACACAGAGATACACACACACACACACACACACACACACACACACACACACACACACACACACACACACACACACTTGCTGCAAACACTGTAACGTCGTCGTATCTTACAACGTGTGTGTGTTGTTTTGGTTGGAGTTAAAGGGTCAGTACATTGAGGTGGATTAAACCTAATGTCTTTGACACATTTTGGTGAACACACACCTCAGCTGAAGATAGAATCAATATCCAGTCGTTTTTGTGACATTTTAATCCAGAATCATGACGTATTTTACGTGTAAAGCAGGACTGTGGTTATATTTCCGGTCAGCGCTGCTATTCTGGTCTGAATGTGGGACAGCTGCAGGAATTAGAGCCTCAGGACATAAGCGCTCAAATAATAAAGCCATGAATTAATCCTGAGAGGAAGTGGAGCAGGAAACTGGAGAAAGCCCAGTCTGCTCTGATTGGCTAGCTGGCCGGCTCTGCTGTGATTGGTCAACCTCTTAAAGATGTCCTGCCCCCTTAGCCTATCACGTACAATGTGTTGGAGCGCTAGCCAATGAGATATTCTCAGATTTATGACACAGATTTAAGAGGACACACTGACTGTTGGAGCACTAGTGTTACACAGTGATGTCACCATGTTCCAGAAGTAAACAAAGGGGTCCGATGAAGGCGTTTGCAGACCATTTTATATGTTTTTTAAATTGGTCAGTGACTATAGTCGTGTATTAAAATGTGAAATTGTAAGCAGCGCTAGGAGGTGAGCTGAAGTCATGTGACTGTTATAACCTCGTGTTGGCATTATCGAAATGTTTACATATAATAAACGTTTGTTGTTGTTGTTTACCTCTCTGCAGGTACACAAAGATCGGCTATGCAGGAAACACGGAGCCTCAGTTCATCATGCCGTCCTGTAAGATCCTTTATTACCCTCACACTGATCTGAGGAATTCAACTTGTATATATTAATATGGCATAATTCTAAAATGTTTAATGATTTCAAATGAACTTCAGACGTCACGAAGGCCTTTCCTATGAAAACGAAATACTGGCTCTAACAACTTGACTTTCTACGCCTTACAAAACCCTTTTCAGTATCAGGTGTTGATGTTTTCTTCAGGTATCGCCATCAGGGAGTGGGCGGGCGTCGGGGACCAGGCTCAGAGGAGACTCGTGAAAGGAGTGGAAGATCTGGACTTCTACATCGGAGACGAAGCTGCAGAGAAACCAAACTACGCTACCAAGGTACGAGGAGGACAGTGGGATTCATGCTCGTCTAGATTCAGTGTACTGTTGTGCTAGAATACACTCAGTTCTTTAAATAGAATACATACAGATGTTATTTTTCCACTATGATACATTTAATTATTTATTTAGTGGCCTATCCGTCACGGCATGGTGGAGGACTGGGACCTGATGGAGAAGTTTATGGAGCAAATCATCTTCAAATACCTGAGAGCTGAGCCTGAAGACCACAGCTTCCTCATGGTGGGTACACACACACACACACACACACACACACACACACACACACACACACACACACACACACACACACACACACACACACAGATATACACTCACACATACACACACACACACTCACAGATATACACACACAGATATACACTCACAGATATACACACACATATACACACACACACAGATTAACACACACACACACACACACACACATACACACTCACAGATATACACACACATATACACACACACAGATATACACACACACACATACACACTCACAGATATACACACACACACACACACACACACACAGATATACACACAGATATACACACACACACACAGATATACACACACACACACACACACACACATACACACTCACAGATATACACACACACACATACACACTCACAGATATACACACACACACACACACATACACACTCACAGATATATATACACACACACACACAGATATACACACACACACACATACACACTCACAGATATACACACACACACACACAGATATACACACACAGATATACACACACATATACACACACACACACACTCACACACACACACAGATATACACACACATATACACACATACACACACTCACAGATATACACACACACAGATATACACACACATATACACACAGATACACACACACACACATACACACATACATTGGTACCACGCGTACATACAGTTTAATACTGAGTGTGTGTGTGTGTGTGTGTTTGTGTGTGTGTGTGTGTGTGTGTGTGTGTGTGTGTGTGTGTGTGTGTGTGTGTGTGTGTGTGTGTTTGTGTGTGTGTGTGTGTGTGTGTGTGTGTGTGTGTGTGTGTGTGTGTGTGTGTGTGTGTGTGTGTGTGTGTGTGTGTGTGTGTGTGTGTGGTGTGTGTGTGTGTGTGTGTGTGTGTGTGTGTGTGTGTGTGTAGACAGAGCCTCCTCTCAACACTCCTGAGAACAGAGAGTATTTGGCAGAGATCATGTTCGAGACCTTCAACATCCCCGGGCTCTACATCGCCGTGCAGGCGAGAAACAAGAAAAGCAACTTCTGGAGAAATTATCTGGAATTGTTTTAATAGGGAACTAAAAATGTGTATTTCTTAATTCCCAAAGAAATGTGTGCTAAAAAAGTTTAAGAGCAAACAACTCTTGCAATGTTTTACTCATCTTAAAATATAACTCATGTCTAAAATTGGACAAGCGACTAATGGATGTATTAACCCTCCGTTCTTCAGGCGGTGTTGGCGTTGGCGGCGTCCTGGACGTCTCGTCAGGTCGGAGAGAGAACGCTGACCGGGGTCGTGATCGACAGCGGAGACGGAGTCACACACGCCATCCCCGTGGTGAGTGTCCTCTGATACAGCGGTTCCCGACCTTGTTTGTCTCGTGTCCCCCTTGAGCTGGCCTCCATTCTAGAAGAACCCCCTCACTCATCTGTGAGGATTTGCCAAAACAAATACTTGTATTAAAACCTTTGTAATAATATTCAACCCTGCTCCTTAGATGAAAACCCTTAATACAAATGCATTTAAACTGATATATTGATACTTATTGTCAGTGAAAATAATAATATTAAGACTAACTTCTAGCAGTTTCAACATATTTTGTTAAGACTAGAGCTTTTAATGACACACTTGAGCTTGTCTTTATAAGCTTTGATAGTTCTGGGGGCGGGACACCAGGCTTATGAACATTGATTTAAAAAAATGTTTTGAGGAAAAATATTGCAATGCCTAATCTTTCTACTGCAACCCCCTCAAGTACCCCTCCCGGGAACCACTGCTCTAATATTAGTTCACAATAACAAACCTAGATACTGCTCTCTGCTCACTGATTGGTCGTTGCTGCTGTCCGTCACAGGCTGAGGGCTACGTGATTGGCAGCTGTATAAAACACATCCCCATCGCAGGGCGGGACATCACCTTCTTCATCCAGCAGCTGCTCAGAGACCGAGAGGCAGGAATCCCCCCCGAGCAGTCGCTGGAGACCGCCAAGGCCATCAAGGTGAACTCATCCTCTTCATCATTTACTCCTCCTCTTCATCTTCTACTCTTACCTTTACTCCTTCTCTATTCTAAAACAATCTGAAAATATAGTGGCCCGAGAATGGGACCCTGAGGAACCCCCAATATAAATATGGCCATTGATAAGAAGATTGACTCGTCCTCCGTAACCTCAATTTCTTTTTAACGTACCCCCCAAAAAATCATAAAACGATAACATAATTAAAGATAAAGAGACCGAGAATTGGACCCTGAGGAACCCTCAAAGTAAATATTGCCATCAATAAGATCTACTCCTCCTCCTTCTCCTATACTACTCCTTTACTCCTCGTCCTCCATAATCTTCCTCCCTTTTTTGTTAATTTCTGTGTTTTTCCGTGTGTAGGAGCGGTACTGTTACATCTGTCCGGACATCGTGAAGGAGTTCTCAAAGTTCGACTCTGACCCGGGGAAATGGATCAAACAGTACCACGGAGTCAACGCCGTCACCAAGACCGACTTCAACGTCGACGTCGGCTACGAGCGTTTCCTCGGCCCTGAAATCTTCTTCCACCCAGAGGTAACTTCGCTAAAAATGAAAAAGACTATCCCATAAATCCTCCTGTTGACTGCAGGACGGGAATAAGCAGGTGGTTGCTAACTGAGCATTAGCATCAATCACTTGTAATTCCTCCCCCAGTTGTGGGACTAATAAAGGATTATCTTATTTGATCATATCTTAAATATTTAAGTGTTGTGACATTTAAAACAAAATCATAAAACTTTAACAAAATCTGAAATATAGAGGCCCGAGAACAAGACCCTGAGGAACCCCCAAAACTCATTATTTACTTTCTAATAAAAACCGTGTATAGTAAAGCCAGTAGATAAGAAATGGACATAGTTGTGCTTTGAAGCCTGTTGTCTTTTATTCCATCTGAATGCTGCCCCCTGGTGGTGACTTGTTATAATGACCGTGTTCTTTTTTCTGTGTAAATGTGTGTTTTTCAGTTCGCTAACCCAGACTTCATGCAGCCAATCTCTGACATTGTTGACGAGGTCATTCAGAGCTGTCCAATCGATGTGAGGCGGCCGCTATACAAGGTAACACCTGAGCACACCTGGGCACTTTTTAATCTAAAACTAAAGCCATACGTTTGTTAACTGTGTGTGTGTTTATATGTGTCAGAACCAGAGGTGGGAAGTAGTGGTACTTAAGTACATGTTTCTGGTATCTGGGGCCTCATTTATAACGCCGTGCGTAGGATTAACATGGGAAGGTTGCTTACGTAGGTACAGAAATTTTCCATTTTCCGATTCACCAAACATTGCGTACCGGCGAGGAAAGTGCGTACGGCACTTCCTACGCCGGTTTCCCTTTATAAATCACAATCAACTCGAAATGCGGTGCAGCTTTTGCGGGCTTCACGTAACGCCCATATTATAAATGAGACCCCAGGCATTTACTCCACTACTTATTTTTCTGACGACTTTTTACTTTCTACTTCTTACATGTTGAACTCAAATACCTGTACTTTCTACTTCTTACATGTTGAACTCAAATACCTGTACTTTCTACTTCTTACATGTTGAACTCAAATACCTGTACTTTCTACTTCTTACATGTTGAACTCAAATACCTGTACTTTATACTTCTTACATGTTGAACCCAAATACCTGTACTTTATACTTCTTACATGTTGAACTCAAATACCTGTACTTTCTACTTCTTACATGTTGAACTCAAATACCTGTACTTTCTACTTCTTACATGTTGTACTCAAATACCTGTACTTTCTACTTCTTACATGTTGAACTCAAATACCTGTACTTTCTACTTCTTACCTGTTGAACTCAAATACCTGTACTTTATACTTCTTACATGTTGAACTCAAATACCTGTACTTTATACTTCTTACATGTTGAACTAAAATACATGTACTTTATACTTCTTACATGTTGAACTCAAATACCTGTACTTTATACTTCTTACATGTTGAACTCAAATACCTGTACTTTCTACTTCTTACATGTTGAACTCAAATACCTGTACTTTCTACTTCTCACATGTTGAACTCAAATACCTGTACTTTCTACTTCTCACATGTTGAACTCAAATACCTGTACTTTCTACTTCTTACATGTTGAACTCAAATACCTGTACTTTCTACTTCTTACATGTTGAACTCAAATACCTGTACTTTCTACTTCTCACATGTTGAACTCAAATACCTGTACTTTCTACTTCTCACATGTTGAACTCAAATACCTGTACTTTCTACTTCTCACATGTTGAACTCAAATACCTGTACTTTCTACTTCTCACATGTTGAACTCAAATACCTGTACTTTCTACTTCTTACATGTTGAACTCAAATACCTGTACTTTATACTTCTTACATGTTGAACTCAAATACCTGTACTTTATACTTCTTACATGTTGAACTAAAATACATGTACTTTATACTTCTTACATGTTGAACTCAAATACCTGTACTTTCTACTTCTTACATGTTGAACTCAAATACCTGTACTTTCTACTTCTTACATGTTGAACTCAAATACCTGTACTTTCTACTTCTTACATGTTGAACTCAAATACCTGTACTTTCTACTTCTTACATGTTGAACTCAAATACCTGTACTTTATACTTCTTACATGTTGAACCCAAATACCTGTACTTTATACTTCTTACATGTTGAACTCAAATACCTGTACTTTCTACTTCTTACATGTTGAACTCAAATACCTGTACTTTCTACTTCTTACATGTTGTACTCAAATACCTGTACTTTCTACTTCTTACATGTTGAACTCAAATACCTGTACTTTCTACTTCTTACCTGTTGAACTCAAATACCTGTACTTTATACTTCTTACATGTTGAACTCAAATACCTGTACTTTATACTTCTTACATGTTGAACTAAAATACATGTACTTTATACTTCTTACATGTTGAACTCAAATACCTGTACTTTATACTTCTTACATGTTGAACTCAAATACCTGTACTTTCTACTTCTTACATGTTGAACTCAAATACCTGTACTTTCTACTTCTCACATGTTGAACTCAAATACCTGTACTTTCTACTTCTCACATGTTGAACTCAAATACCTGTACTTTCTACTTCTTACATGTTGAACTCAAATACCTGTACTTTCTACTTCTTACATGTTGAACTCAAATACCTGTACTTTCTACTTCTCACATGTTGAACTCAAATACCTGTACTTTCTACTTCTCACATGTTGAACTCAAATACCTGTACTTTCTACTTCTCACATGTTGAACTCAAATACCTGTACTTTCTACTTCTCACATGTTGAACTCAAATACCTGTACTTTCTACTTCTTACATGTTGAACTCAAATACCTGTACTTTATACTTCTTACATGTTGAACTCAAATACCTGTACTTTATACTTCTTACATGTTGAACTAAAATACATGTACTTTATACTTCTTACATGTTGAACTCAAATACCTGTACTTTCTACTTCTTACATGTTGAACTCAAATACCTGTACTTTCTACTTCTTACATGTTGAACTCAAATACCTGTACTTTCTACTTCTTACATGTTGAACTCAAATACCTGTACTTTATACTTCTTACATGTTGAACCCAAATACCTGTACTTTATACTTCTTACATGTTGAACTCAAATACCTGTACTTTCTACTTCTTACATGTTGAACTCAAATACCTGTACTTTCTACTTCTTACATGTTGTACTCAAATACCTGTACTTTCTACTTCTTACATGTTGAACTCAAATACCTGTACTTTCTACTTCTTACCTGTTGAACTCAAATACCTGTACTTTATACTTCTTACATGTTGAACTCAAATACCTGTACTTTATACTTCTTACATGTTGAACTAAAATACATGTACTTATACTTCTTACATGTTGAACTCAAATACCTGTACTTTATACTTCTTACATGTTGAACTCAAATACCTGTACTTTCTACTTCTTACATGTTGAACTCAAATACCTGTACTTTCTACTTCTTACATGTTGAACTCAAATACCTGTACTTTCTACTTCTCACATGTTGAACTCAAATACCTGTACTTTCTACTTCTTACATGTTGAACTCAAATACCTGTACTTTCTACTTCTCACATGTTGAACTCAAATACCTGTACTTTCTACTTCTTACATGTTGAACTCAAATACCTGTACTTTATACTTCTTACATGTTGAACTCAAATACCTGTACTTTATACTTCTTACATGTTGAACTAAAATACATGTACTTTATACTTCTTACATGTTGAACTCAAATACCTGTACTTTATACTTCTTACATGTTGAACTCAAATACCTGTACTTTCTACTTCTTACATGTTGAACTCAAATACCTGTACTTTCTACTTCTCACATGTTGAACTCAAATACCTGTACTTTATACTTCTTACATGTTGAACTCAAATACCTGTACTTTATACTTCTTACATGTTGAACTAAAATACATGTACTTTATACTTCTTACATGTTGAACTCAAATACCTGTACTTTATACTTCTTACATGTTGAACTCAAATACCTGTACTTTCTACTTCTTACATGTTGAACTCAAATACCTGTACTTTCTACTTCTTACATGTTGAACTCAAATACCTGTACTTTCTACTTCTCACATGTTGAACTCAAATACCTGTACTTTCTACTTCTCACATGTTGAACTCAAATACCTGTACTTTCTACTTCTCACATGTTGAACTCAAATACCTGTACTTTCTACTTCTTACATGTTGAACTCAAATACCTGTACTTTCTACTTCTTACATGTTGAACTCAAATACTTGTACTTTCTACTTCTCACATGTTGAACTCAAATACCTGTACTTTCTACTTCTTACATGTTGAACTCAAATACCTGTACTTTCTACTTCTCACATGTTGAACTCAAATACCTGTACTTTCTACTTCTCACATGTTGAACTCAAATACCTGTACTTTCTACTTCTTACATGTTGAACTCAAATACCTGTACTTTCTACTTCTCTCATGTTGAACTCAAATACCTGTACTTTCTACTTCTCACATGTTGAACTCAAATACCTGTACTTTCTACTTCTTACATGTTGAACTCAAATACCTGTACTTTCTACTTCTCACATGTTGAACTCAAATACCTGTACTTTCTACTTCTTACATGTTGAACTCAAATACCTGTACTTTCTACTTCTTACATGTTGAACTCAAATACCTGTACTTTCTACTTCTTACATGTTGAACTCAAATACCTGTACTTTCTACTTCTTACATGTTGAACTCAAATACCTGTACTTTCTACTTCTCACATGTTGAACTCAAATACCTGTACTTTCTACTTCTTACATGTTGAACTCAAATACCTGTACTTTCTACTTCTTACATGTTGAACTCAAATACCTGTACTTTCTACTTCTCACATGTTGAACACAAATACCTGTACTTTCTACTTCTTACATGTTGAACTCAAATACCTGTACTTTCTACTTCTTACATGTTGAACTCTAATACCTGTACTTTCTACTTCTCACATGTTGAACTCAAATACCTGTACTTTCTACTTCTTACATGTTGAACTCAAATACCTGTACTTTCTACTTCTTACATGTTGAACTCAAATACCTGTACTTTCTACTTCTTACATGTTGAACTCAAATACTTGTACTTTCTACTTCTCTCATTTTCCAAACAGCTGGTTCCTTTAGTCTGAATGTGTGTTTGATGCGTGATCATTATTCTTTAGAGTCATTGCGTGCCTATTGATTTGAACACGATCCGTGTATCCATCACTTCCTGGTCTTCTCTAAAGAAGAGGGACCAATGGAAACGTTGTCATGTTGCCGTTGTTCAGCATGGAAACATTCATTAGCTAACAATGACATTATTGTTCTATTAATATAAAGGGAGGTCAGGTACTCTTTAAAACAGCTGCTAGTTATGGGTACTTTTTACTGAAGTACATTTCAAAGCCTCTTTACTTTGACTTGAGTAAAGAAGTTTAGTCAGTACTTCTACTTTTACCAGAGTATTTTTAAACACGAGTATCTGTACTTCTACTTGAGTAAAGAAGTTTAGTCAGTACTTCTGTCGTGTTCAGAATTCCAGGAAAGACAAACGACTTCTAAGTTTAACTATTTATTATAAAAGAGCAAAAGATATATTCACTTGGCCAAGGACTCGTCACGTCATAGAAATCACAGGCAGCAAAGCTGTAATCTGTAACCACCATTTCCGTAAAGAGCCCCCGTCCTCGTGCGACAATACATTTGATTACACAGGGCGTTGCCCGTACATTTACGATTGGTTGAGACTAGATGGAACCTTGGTTCAGACTTTGGCTCTCTCTCGTTGGTGCACAGACTTAGACACAAGTCTCTTGATCCTCCAATCAACATTCGGCCGGCCGGCGAAGTCCCTCTCTGTCTCTATCCTAGTAACGTTTCTACATATATCGTGGAAAACCTTCATAATGCTGCTTCCTAGCTATGCGTGGGAGCACCTCAAGGCCCGGAGCGATGTCCTGCTCTGAAAAACCCGTTGTCTTCTCACAGTGTCTGCACCTGGCCTTGCTACATTAATATTGCAAGCTAAAACTTTCTCTGTGAACCTGGGATTAGTGATTTTGTCTATTTATTCCAAAGTCATAGCAACATAAAATGAGCACAATAAGCTTATAATGTAATAATAAGAATCAGTCTTGTAATGTTATAGACTCCACACTTCTACTTGAGTAAAGGACGTGTGTACTTTTGCCATCTCTGCACCTGAACACTTTTTTAACTAAATCTAAACCCATACATTTTTTAACTGTGTTTGTGTTTTATGTGTCAGAACATCGTTCTCTCCGGAGGATCCACGATGTTCAGAGACTTTGGGCGGCGTGTGCAGAGAGACCTGAAGAGAGTGGTGGACGCCCGGCTGAAGTTTAGTGAAGAACTCAGCGGAGGACGATTAAAGGTGAGACAGATGGATGGAAAAACTGACTAGGTTTCTTCCATTTTGTCCTTTTCACTGGGTTTCTTTTTGGGGGGGTTTTAATTTGTCCAATGTGAGGGTCTAAGGACAGTTTTTTTATTCTGTATAACCTGTAAAGCCCCCTGAGACAAATGTAAAATGTGTGCTATTGGGCTATATTTTGTATTTTTGTATTTTATCATTGTTGGAGGAGCTCGGGTCAGAAGAATTTCATTGCCATGTCTAAACTGTAGCTTATGTGCAAATGACAATAAAACCTTTGAATCTTGAATCTCTCTATATATAGATACATCTCGATTGATTGACTTCAGATTTTTTTTTTTTTGTTTGCAGCCAAAGCCAATGGAGGTGCAGGTCGTCACTCATCACATGCAGCGCTACGCCGTCTGGTTCGGAGGATCAATGTTGGCGTCCACGGTAAACAAAACACACACACACACACACACACACACACACACGTTTATAGGACTTCTGCCCTCATTGACTAAAGCCCCTTTCACACATGCACAGCAAACCCCTTAATCTCAACCTCTGTTTCCTTTTTGAGATATTTAGTGCCCTGGAGCTCTGTAGAAAAGACTAATTGCTAATTGGCTTGATGGCTAACTGTTAGCAATGACTAATGTGATTTATTAACACATTGTGAGATGCAGCTGTGGTTGTACTGTTTGTTTTTATAGAATTGGTTAGTATAGCCTGGGACAGAACATGATAAACATACAGTATGTGTGGGTTTAAATGGGTTCACAACAGGGAGATTGTTGTTGTTTTAAAGACTAATTGGGACGTCTGGTCCCATTACGTTAAGACTACAAATATGGCCGTTGTTTGTTTGTGTTTTCAGCCGGAGTTTTCCCAGGTGTGTCACTCGAAGAAGGACTACGATGAGATCGGGCCGAGCATCTGTCGACACAACCCCGTGTTCGGAATCATGTCCTAATGAACAGCGGCAGCTACAGATAGCTCGCTTGATAGCATGCTACGTTGTTAGCCTGTTGTCCTGTCTCTCCTGCTAGCTGCTAACCACCAACCACTTAGACAGTAGCCAGTTACAGGTACATCTCAATAAATTAGATTATCGTGGAAAAGTTAATTCTAATTTCTTGAGGTGCACCTGTAATATATTGTTTATTTAATTGTTTTAGCCCGTTATGCTAATACACGGTTAGCAGGCTAGCTCAGTCTCATCCAGCACATGGCGGTCTGGAGAAACCTAAGCAGTATTGTTTATTGTCCAAAAAGCAGCCATGTTCGGTTTTTTTTTTTTAAGGATTTCTCAAGACCTCAAAATAAAGAGTAGCTAGCTGTTAGCCTGTTAGCAATGTAGCATCGCAGAGTGTTTGTTCAACAGCCTGTATCATATACTTCTGCACTCAGAGCGTTTATATTTGTAAAGAAAAGCAGATCATATTTATTATAATGTAAAATCTATACACATATTAAACTGAGTCTTTGTCTGAGAGAATAAAAGACACAACAGATATTTAGTTTTATGAAGATCTCCACACTGTCACACTGAAATCATATTTTTGTGGCCAAGCTGAGATTTAATGAATGTTAATAAATGATCTGTGGTTTGATACTGAGCTGCTGTCAATAAATCCCCTTTAAGACACCGTTAACACCGACTTTCTGTTATTAGTGGATCTAGGTAGAATTAAAAACTGGCAACATATAATAAAATATTTCTTAGTTTAAAACGCTGTCACTATAATATGTCAATTACAACATAAACCTCTAATCAGGGCCGGCCCTAGACATTTCGGTGCCCTAGGCGAGATTATGATTTGGTGCCCCCCCCTCCAAGCAATACACAATAGAATATATAAAGAATAAATGAAAAATCTCTACAAAAGACCAATACACTACAAAAACTGAAACATATTGACATGTTGGTTATATACATAAAGAAGGTTTCAAATGTTTTCATTATTGTATGAACATACTTTAATTGGGGGGTGGACGTGACATCCTCTAGGGCAGGGGTGGCCAACCAGTCAGAGGTTAAGAGCCACATTTTGTCTATGTTACTGCAAAGAGCCACATCAAACACACAGTCACTGATACCGCTTGTTTCAGTTTTTTGTTTTCTGGAGACAAGATTTCAACCACGTCACTGATGCATTTTTGTGGCATTGGGATATATATTTTTTAATTCCTCTGGAGCAGAGAGAGGAGCTGTGGATTATTGTTATTGATGAATGCATCAGTGTTTCTTAGGGTCAAAAACACTAAACTCACAACTTAAAATGAAAGTGTTTAGTTTATTTAATTAAAGAGCACATGTTCAATGTGAAACGTGACAGTAGATATAGATTATTTGCAATTTGGTGCTATATATATATATATATATATATATATATATATATATATTAAAAAAAAATAATAATATATATTTTTTAAACACCTTGAATTTCAGGGGGGGGCGCGGGGCTCCGTTGGCGGGGCGCAGCGCCCCTCCAAGACAATGGTAGGGGAAACACTGGATAGTGTTTAATCAACGATAGGTTTCCCCCCCTCATAGGTGATTGGTTCACTGCATCGCAGGTATTATTGTGATTGGCTCTTGGGCCACATCAAAATTAGACGCGCTGTCATCCTCTCATACTGACACCACACACGTATAGGGAGAGCCGGGACGAAAGTAACACGGGACGAAAGTAACACGGGACAAAAGTAACGGAGCGATTTTATCCGAGCCCAAACAACTTTGACCGGCCAAATTACGTCAGAATTATCAGCATTCAGTACTTAACAGACTTACTAACTATCAGGTTTAACTGTCAGGAGTAGCTAGTGTTGTCACGATACCAACATTTTGGTTTCGATACCAAGTCAAGAATTGCGATTCCGATTATTTTTCGATACTTTTCTTAAAAAAAGGGAAACAGTCTTAAATGTAATTATTGTGCTTTATTTCACACCAGAACCATAACCATAACACAAACTTTTAAACAATGAGAACAATAAATAAAATAAATGACAAGAATTAATACATGTCTGACAGACAGGACTCGTGGTGTCCGTAGGCTTGCCCTCACTGTCAGAAATATAGCTAAAATACTTCCAAATTTCGCTTCTGGCGTCTTTTTTGTCAACAAGCCGAGGCGCAGCGGCAGTTGCACTCCCACTTGCAGCCATGCTTCTTGTTTTCTCACATGCTCTGGCAGCTAGCGCGTGCACGAGAGAGGGGATGGATTTAGCATGTGCACGAGAGGGGAGGGACTGCAGGCACGGCTGCAGTGCAGGGAGTGGAAGCAGAGCGCTGAACACACACGGCTCTTATTAAAACGGCGCTTTCTCACCGGAGTACTTTTCCCCGTCATTCTTAAAGTACCGATACTAATGAAACGGAGGAATCGTAACGTTTTTAACGGCAGAGTATCGCGGTACCTTTCAAGTATCGGTACACCGTGCGGAGTCAGTGTCTCTCCCCCAAACTCACACACATACAATTCGATATGAACTGAAGAGCCGCATGAAACTAGGCAAAGAGCCGCATGCGGCTCGAGAGCCGCGGGTTGGCCACCCCTGCTCTAGGGGGTTCCGGGCTATGCCCCCCGGAACGATTTGTTTTCACATTTTAAAGTAAAATGCTTCAATCTGGTGCACTTTTAGCAGAATCACTAGAGACCTGATCTAGGGGGTACAACTCTAAACACCCATATGAAAAAGATCAGTTTGCATTTTAATAATCAAATAAGTATCTGAACATAACCAAAAACCTACCATAGCTAATAACAAATACATGTAACTTATTTTATTTTTGTTGTTCATTTATATCTTATTTTACCAGTTAACATTTATTTATGCATATTTTTTAATATCTCCAATGTTAAACTATATGTCTGGTTTACTGTCCTATAGTATTAGGAATGATTTCAAACCTGTTTTTATTTATCCCAATAATTATAAAGGAGTGCCTTGGAAATACTTGTTTACATAAATTGTGACCAAACCGTTTGAGAGCCACTGAGATAACTTAGACTAAAGTGAACTATCTAAATCAGGGGTGGGGAACCTTTTTCCTCTCAAGGGCCATTTAAATGTTTTCAACATCCTCCGAGGGCCGTACAAATGATTGACCTCTGCTTAAAAATACTAAAATCACAGCCCATTAATTTCACCTTTCTTTCATGCTGTGCAAAGAAAAAGCAACCTCTGAATCCAGATATCTTGCCATGACTCGCGCATGCATGCACGTGCACGGTGTGGCCTGCATGCACGTGCACGGTGTGTGGCATGACCACCAAAACAGAAAGATATGGACACAAGATGTGTGCGAATGTATTTAGACTCCTGTGAACATGATTTAAGTGGGGGGGGACCTCACCTCCTCTAGGGGGGTCCGGGGGCATGCTCCCCCAGGAAGATTTGTTTTTTTAAATGTTGAAGTTAAAAGCATCAATCTGGTGCACTTTGAGAGCAACATTAGGAGCTCTATGGACACATCTCTCAACATGTATCATCATATAAAGATGTGCCTTTACCTCACTGGTTGTAGAAAAAGCTTCTTATATTCGTTAGCATATAGCTAGCTAACCAGATGCTAATAACAACAAAGTTATTGACTGTATGATCAGTGTGACAGATCGACACTGGGCTTACAACTAAAGACACAGCCACGCAGAAACTGCAGCATGTGTACGGCTCCTTATGGGTACTGCAATGTTTGGAAGTGCCGGAGCGGAGTGGCGTTCTGGTGCTCTCCGTCAGAACTGCACCCCTGTCAGACGAGACATATTATACACGTTAGGCTTGTGTTGTGTTCAAGGACCCTGACCTTGGCCAGGAAAAAGAGGCACTCACTTGTTTATTTATTTTGCGGTCTAGATTTCTTTAATTTTGTTTCTTTTTTGCGTGTGTTTATAAATTACCTCGAGGGCCACACCAAATGGTCTCGCGGGCCGTATACGGCCCGGGGGCCGGAGGTTCCCCGCCCCTGATCTAAATACTGTGAGAGTCCTTTAGCTCACTGAGCTGTAGTTATCAGCCTAAATCCAACAACAATCCGCGGCAGCGATGCGCGCCCTCGGCTTCTTTGGGCCACAGAAGCTGTAGTTCCACTGTTTGGCCATTAGGGACATTAGCTTCAACGGCCGGCACTCTTTTCTGAAGGATTGTCACTGTTAGAAACCACAGAAGAAGAACATCCCATTGTTGAGACGAAGTGGAATTTTATAAATCTTAAAAACGGAACTTTAAACTCTTCTATTTTTTATAAACTACAAACTGTCTCTCCTTCTTTGAGAAACCGCCACCATGTGGAAGGAACCGACTTTTAACCTCTAAGTTAGGTTTTGGAGCCGAAAAACGAGAGACTTTACGATGTTTTCGGTACGTTTTTTTAATTTATTGATCACCTGTCTGTCTCTCATCTGTCTGTCTCTCTGTATCACCTGTCTCTCTCTCTGTATCACATGTCTGTCTCTCTTTATCACCTGTCTGTCTCTCACCTGTCGGTCTCTCTGTATCACCTGTCTGTCTCTCACCTGTCTGTCTCTCACCTGTCTGTCTCTCTGTATCACCTGTCTGTCTCTCTGTATCACCTGTCTCTCTCTCTGTATCACCTGTCTCTCTCTCTCTGTATCACATGTCTGTCTCTCTTTATCACCTGTCTGTCTCTCACCTGTCGGTCTCTCTGTATCACCTGTCTGTCTCTCACCTGTCTGTCTCTCACCTGTCTGTCTCTCACCTGTCTGTCTCTCTGTATCACCTGTCTCTCTCTCTGTATCACATGTCTGTCTCTCTTTATCACCTGTCTGTCTCTCACCTGTCGGTCTCTCTGTATCACCTGTCTGTCTCTCACCTGTCTGTCTCTCACCTGTCTGTCTCTCATCAGTCTGTCTCTCTGTATCACCTGTCTGTCTCTCACCTGTCTGTCTCTCTGTATCACCTGTCTGTCTCTCACCTGTCTGTCTCTCACCTGTCTGTCTCTCTGTATCACCTGTCTCTCTCTCTGTATCACCTGTCTCTCTCTCTGTATCACATGTCTGTCTCTCTTTATCACCTGTCTGTCTCTCACCTGTCGGTCTCTCTGTATCACCTGTCTGTCTCTCACCTGTCTGTCTCTCACCTGTCTGTCTCTCTGTATCACCTGTCTGTCTCTCACCTGTCTGTCTCTCATCTGTCTGTCTCTCTGTATCACCTGTCTGTCTCTCTGTATCACCTGTCTGTCTCTCACCTGTCTGTCTCTCACCTGTCTGTCTCTCATCAGTCTGTCTCTCTGTATCACCTGTCTGTCTCTCACCTGTCTGTCTCTCACCTGTCTGTCTCTCACCTGTCTGTCTCTCTGTATCACCTGTCTGTCTCTCACCTGTCTGTCTCTCATCTGTCTGTCTCTCTCTCTGTATCACCTGTCTGTCTCTCACCTGTCTGTCTCTCTGTATCACCTGTCTGTCTCTCACCTGTCTGTCTCTCTGTATCACCTGTCTGTCTCTCACCTGTCTGTCTCTCATCTGTCTGTCTCTCTGTATCACCTGTCTGTCTCTCACCTGTCTGTCTCTCTGTATCACCGTCTGTCTCTCATCTGTCTGTCTCTCTGTATCACCTGTCTGTCTCTCACCTGTCTGTCTCTCATCTGTCTGTCTCTCTGTATCACCTGTCTGTCTCTCTGTATCAC